GGTATTTAAAAGATGTGTAGATGTGGTGCTTAGGGACATGGTTTAGTGGTGGATTTGGCAGTGCTAGGTTAATGGTTAGATTTTATGATCTTAAAGGTCTTTTCCAACTTAAACGATTCTATGATTCTATGAAACAAACCACACTTTCATTGACTGTACCTTTCAAAGATTAATGGCAAGATATTTTCAGTGGAGAGCCTCAGCTATGAATATTTCTATACCTGGGAAAGAAATTTCCTAAATGCAAAGTATATATTATCCTCCCTTCCCTCATCCCCAAAGCCCAAAATATCACTGCTGGTTGATACGACTCCACAAGTAAACCAGTTATGCTATCTATTGGGTGTAGTGCAGCATGCATATTAAAGCATACATTTCAGTTACGTTTCCATGAACAAGCTTTCTGATGCACCAGCTAGATTTCAGTTCTAATAGACTAAGACTAGACACAGGGAAACGTTAAGTGCAAAACCCCAAGGGTCAGTTCTGTCTTAGATCCCCATGCCACCATCTGGCATCAAACCTTAGATGTGCCAGTAATAGTTAAAAAAATCCTTTATTGTCTTTGTCTTACAATGTTGTTGTCTGCTAAGGAAGTAATTTTTATGAACACAGGATGGATGTTCTAGCCTTTTATTAACTTTAACACCAGGCAAGCTAAGAGAAGGCTAGGAAGGTTTTATAAGACAGCTGTGACATTTACATCTGCCTTAAGATGGACCAGCAACACGCTGTGCCCCTGAGAATTTAAGTTTTTAACACCTATAACTAGCCTGCAGGCAAGAGAATATTTTTTTTTTCCTCCCACAGTTTGCAGCATTCCAAAAACTAGAATTGTTCCAGGTCACAGACAGCCTAATGAGTCTGGATTCACATTTTAGGGCAGCTGAATATTGCTTGCTGCTTCATACTGTTAAATATGATCAATTTTACCTTTCTTTTCAGGGCTTAGCAGATACTGGAGCTTTCAAGGGACAGAGCAAGCTTCTCCATCTAAACCCAACTGAATAACATTTGCGGTTACTTTAAAAGTTCAGATAGACCTGAATGGAATTCCTGTGAAGTTGTTTCATGGTGCTTTTATATAATCAGCTACAAAGTTGCTTCACAGACTTTAGTAAGTGAGAAATCAGCTGAGCTTCACTGATTTAAAAAGCCAGATCAAACGTACTCTGGGGACGTAAGATGTCCTGAAAGGTAAGTTAAATACATTCAGTTTCTAGGACGATAAGAATTTAAAACAAGTCCCAGTGAGCCAAAAGGGGCAGGGGGGGAACCCCAAACATGGCATACTTAGTCTGAGCAAAAAGCCCCGGGAAATATGTATATGCAAACCAAAGTGATGTTATAAGCTGTCATCTCTGTCCAGTAACTGCTTCCATCAATCTCTCTTCTCTACAGTCTGAACACACACATACACACCCTCTGCCCCCAAAAGGTGGTATGGTCATTACCCCATGGCTTGGTATTACATGGACTTTTGGATATCAAAAAAGCCCCAGCTTTTCACGTCATTATATTCTAGTTTTGTTTGTCAATTGCTGAATAACCGACTTAAAATTACAAATAATTGGGGGGGATGAATATCACAAGCCCAGCCTGGTAAGGACACATGAGGATTTTCCATTTGAACTACAAAAAAAGGGCTCTCAAGTAAGACTGAAGACCAACACAGTTTCCCCATTAAAGGAAATCTCAGGTTCAGATTTAAAGACCAAGCATGATGGGATGACTGAATCAGAATCCCTCTGCAGGAAGGCACTGGTAGCTTAGCTATCAAAATTGTCATACAAACTAATAACTTCTAGTTAGCTCTAAATCAGAGGGTCAGGAATACTGGAAACAGGCTAGCAGCACACCTTTGGCTGCATGCCATGAGAAACCACAAGCAAGCTCAAGGCAAGGGCAGCTGAGAAGCAATTTTGTGAGATGGTGAAAAGACAGAGTTCACCAGTTCAGCCACGGTACAGCCAAGATACCCACCTCACATGAACAGTTCTTTCTCAGAAGGAAAAATACAATTGGCACATGTATAGCAGTGGGCACTAGTACTCACTAGGCCATCTAACTCCAACAGAAAAATTCTTAAATGTTCAGGAGCACATGACAGTACTTCCACTTCTAACAGAGTCACTGCTACCTTTTACTTGTTCCACTTCTGACAGCCATTGAAACCTTCACCAGCAGAGGAAATAAGTACTACTAAAGTCAGTACGAGTCTGCTATCTTCTGAGAGGCCACTGTTTTAGAATACATTTGGAAGTAAGATTATGTATTTTCAGGTTGCTCTTTTGAGAAAAGTGGAGAGAGAAACTGCGGGAGAAAAAGGAACAAGGAACAGAAAACAGCAAGGCGAGGTAGTGAAATGCTGGATAATTGTACCATGGCTTTTCTACGTTCACAATAGTACAGAGAATGTGTTCTCAGACCCCCTTTTCTAATAATATATCAAGAATACATGCTCCAAGATAGAACAGTAATTTCATTTTAAATGTTTTAGATGGCAACTTCACCATGTAACAAAAAAGCTAAAGCTTGCGTGGCTGGTATGCCATCCAACTAGCCATAACACAGGCATACTTGTATGGACAAAAAGTATCAGTACTGAAACATGCAAGCAAGAAACAAAATCCAACCAAACAGCTACTCTGATTTAATGAAAGCAAGTGGTTTTGTTACAGACCACACAGGTCAGAAATGCAACATGGGCAACATGGCATTCAGCTTGCTGCAAAGAAAAGGCCCAACCTGTGGAAAGAGGGGCAGTTCCCAGGATCCTGCTGTCAGAGAAGCTGCAAAAGAAAGGAGGACTGCTGGGACAAGTTCCATCTGAAACTAAAATGGATGCATTAGGGACTTTTATAGGATTATCTCAAATCAGATAGAGATTATATTTGGAGTGGACTTTAAATAGGTTTTTTTCAGATTGCATTCAAGAAGTAAAGGTTTCACATATGGGCAGAGAACTAAAAATCTGTTACAGAATTAGAATAGTTTGGAAAAAGCACAGCAGAAATAGTGCGTAACAGAGGGCTTACAAATTATGTCAGGCCCAAGACAATCTTCACCTTGCTTAGGGAGATTTGTTTTAGCAAACAGTATCACTGATAAAACAATTTTGCCTCTATGATGTATTTATGTATTTCTACTACTACTATGCATATACACCTAATGCACGCAAGTCAGCTATACTGATGAAGGTGGCACGTGAATATTTCATGCACATCCAAGCCCACAAAGAGTAAACCTACATCAGCTACTACTCAGCACCCTCACCATATCCAGAATTGTGTTATATGACTTACAATGGCAAGTTGCTATCTTGATACACTAAAGATAAATAATTATTTCTTCTTCTTTGAACAACTATGCAATATATAGTTTTCCATTGTCAGCATCTCCCAGTTAATAGCCACTAAAGAAGAGGAGTATCAATTGTCTAATTAAACAACATAATTTACCACCTTGGACAGTAGCATAGGATCATGTCAATGTAGGACTGCTAGTATTGTATACATGCCCAGCATTGACGGATTTTCATTTTTCAGTAGCTAATTATTAGAGGGAAGGTGAGGAGGAGAGGTTCCCTCAGACGAAACTAAGCCAGTAAAGAACAAATTTGATTTGAATGAAATTCAAGCAAAAGTAGAAATTTAAGGCAAGATCGCCTATATTTAATTTATACCATCAATGACTAGCTCTCCTATCCTTCAAAACAGACCTCTACAATTCAAAGAGACACCTTGACAGAAACAGAATCTGTGTTTGGAAGTGCAGCACTAAGTATGACTGACTTGAGCAGGATTTTTAATTAACAGATACAGGCTTGTTAAATCTTTTGAAAAATCACTCTGCTGTTGGTTCATAGGTCTTTAGTACTTGTTCTACGCAGCGGATGGACTATAGGGATGGCTACCAGACTTACTCTTAGTAATCTCAATAATCATTTATGACAATATCACCTTCATATTTAGAAAAAGATTTCACAACAGCAAAAACCCAACAGTAACAAAACCCCGCTATCACAAAACAGGTTCCCAGTCCCACCTCTTTGTTCCCTGCACCGAGATCCCTACCTCAATCTTTCTCCCACAAACAGAACTGAAAGTGGAGCGCCCGTTACCATCTGCTTCCCCTCGCCCCACTCCAGCAGCTGCTGCTGCCTGTAGACATGCACTTAAAGGAGCTGGAAGCCTCAGTGCTGACGTGCTGCAATACAGAACAGGTCCTGCCTCTACTGCATATCAACTTAAGATGATCAGCATACAACCGGTAGTACATACCCGAGAGTTTGGAAACATTTGTTTTACAGACAGGGATGACGACATAGTGATGTTTCAGACTTCTGACCTCAGTTCCTTGCATGTGCACTCACGACGAGCAAAGAAATATTATTTTAAAAAATAAAACAAAAAAACTACTGCCTCACCACACCCCAAGAAAAACAGAGCATTGATCCTCCATCACCTTTTTTTAATACTCTTCATCTGATGCAGTGGTCCCCATGACCATTTCTAGCCTGGGACTACACTGATTTTAGTGAGAGCTTTAAGTGGGTGCAAAGTGACCCATCTTTTGGAGTGCAAGCTATTTACAACCACTTATTTCTACCTGTTTTTTATCACCTATGAGACCTGACCAGACCTAGTACCAAAGACAGAAGTATAGCCCTGACAGCATGGCACAGTGCCTGCACTACTCGGAGAGGAAAGCACCTAAGACTGCATTCCCTGCAGATGGAGATGACAGGCAAATATTATTCCACAGCCAATAGGGAGACAGTTGACAATACAATAAACTTTTACAGTTGTAACAACAAAGGTCATTTCTCCCCTAGCTGTATCCCTTTTCAGCTTTGTTTTTGACTGATTAACAGATACTTACCACCTCCAGTAGCCCAGCAAAACCCTAAGCCTATTATTTAATAAATAATATTAATTCTCTACAAAGAAAATATAAACATATTAGAATTCATCTATATTAGAAAATGTGACATAAAAGCCAATTCCATCAAACCATATAAGTTTGCAATAGCAAAAAAGTTTTCTATGCTTTCCCCTTGTTTAATAAAGACATTCCAAATGCAGCAGCTTACCTGATCTTGCAGAGACATAACAGGATTATTTTTGGTTGTATTGATATGTAGAACATGGTATTTGTTCTTCGCACAAAGATCATAGGCAATATTTGTGAAGGATGTGCTGGCAGTCTTAGGTACTCTGTTGTAAATAATCACCACATCATCTTCTTCATCCAGTGTCACATCTTGTCGGGGGCCATCTACTGTATGACGTTGTTCTATTTCTCTGACCTCGTGTCTTGCAATAGCCCTTTCTGTTAAGGATGACAAATACAAAATTTCAATGTAAATATCACCAATTTTGAAGTTCAAACCATAGAATGCAAATGACCTGGTGAAAAGCAGTAACTCCTCAGCAATAAAGGAAACAGTTGCTGTCATATATATTTCTGACACATATGAAGCAAAACTTAACCTATAAAATGTATGAATGATAAAAGGTGAGTTAGTCTGACACAGAACACAAAGACTAGAAAACAATATACTTAGGGAACACATACTGTATTCTACGACTCATGCTAATGTTACTGAAAGCCATCGTCTCTAAAGAAAAATGTCTATAAAGCGCTATCAAAATGGTGACATCCCAAAACATCCCAAATATTTCTATAAAACAACTTTTTAAAAATTATAATAAAAGGAATAACTCAAGCAATTTGGAGAGTATGAATTTTATGAAAACAGTAGAAATACTAACACTAGAGACTTAGTCAATTACTGTGTAGAGGCACTGGAATTCAGATGAAACCATTGTTTTGTTATTTCAATTGACACAAGTCCAAGCGTAAAGCATTACCATAAATGGGTTTGCAAAAATTCAATTAGATTTATTAATTTCAAGTTTGACAAGAACAGAAGCAAGAGGTGCTTACGAAACAGTTAACATTAAGATGAAGAGTGATCTCCGAGTACTGAAATACATCAAATACATCAAAAAGAAAGAAACATGGAAAAGCAAGCTATGAACAAGACATTTTGGCAAGGTGAGTACATTGCAAATAAACTATTTTTCCTCGTGTACAAAGGGCAATACTCGAGTAATTGAACTCTGCTTCAAGTGCTAAAAGCCTATTTGGAAAATAAACCCCACAGTATTACAGCATTTTTTTTTCTGCTGCTGAATATCAAATACTTTGTGCTGATTCAGACACTGCTTTGTTCTGTTCTAGATAAGTATACACTTTAATATGATTTGTAATACAGATGTCAAAGCATCTTTTCCAATCCATTTATTGTGATATTGCCTTTAATAATGTATTCAAAGAAATCTGCGTTGGCCAACAGTGCACGCTGAAGTCGGTACCACAAGAATAACCTGTAATTCTCTGTATTATGTTCTTACACAGGGTATAGCTCTTTCTCCATGACACGCTTTTAACACGAGCGGCTCTTGACTTTACTTCCTTCGCTTCCTGTAACCCAGCTCCTTCTATTCTTTTTTACCACATCTCTTTAATTATAACATAAAATCACTTTTAAAGCAGAATCATTAAGCTGTGAACACCACTAGCCTGTAATTCCACATAAATTGCCTTCAACCACAAACTTCCATCTGTCTGAAATGCTTCAAAGCTTAAACTCACTCACTCTCTCATATGCTCGTATCTCACACCCCATAACTAAGTTACATCAGTATGAAAATGTTTGTAGAAAATGCTTATTGAGTATATCTCAATTTTCCACATGACATCTGTTGCTCCCCACTACATCAGTCACAGTTTTTGCTCCTTCCTTTCTCATTTGCTACCTCTCCCATCACTGCTGGCAAACGTCCTATTTTGGAAAGAGATGAGGCAACAGACTCAGGTTCCATCTATCTGAAGACAGCTACAACAAAAAGGCACTGGCAACTCTCCCCTTCCTGGCAGTAACAGATTAGAGGAAGCATTTGGTAGGGGACATAGTTAACCACATGGCTGCCCAAGGCTACACGGATACTGAATACCACCTAGAGAGGCTGAAATGAAACAAATTTAATTTGTATTTTCTACACCAGAGTAGTAGATCTCAGCTAGACTTGAATCATAACTGCACAGAACTCCAGGGCTGATGAGGCTGGCTGGTGCAGAGGGAAGCTTCCCCTTTTACATGTAAGTAGTAAACATTTGTGAGAAACAGACATGATTTGCAAGAAGAGTGATGAGAAGTGTTCCTCTAATGAGGTATTTGAAACCACGATGGTTCAAGAATTAATGTGACAAGTGCACTTTAAAGGCTGTGCATAAGATATAAAAGATGGATGATTAGATGCATTTAGCAGAAAGGCTACTGCATACAATCACCTTCAACTTTGTACAGTGAGAGGGGAAAGCGAGAACCATGCAAACAGAACCTCCACAAGTATGAAGTACACAGACAGTTGTAGTATGAAGGAATAAGGAGGCTTTAAACTTCAAATTAAAATGAAAACTAATCTTTACGATGAAGAACTGAAATAATTTTTCTGAAACAACTGCAATAGTTAAAACCCAAAAGCTGTGATGAAGTGCAGGATATAAACTGCTGAAGTGCAAGGGAAGCTAAAGCTAGTGAGAAGCAGATGAAGCACCTGAAAGTGTCTAACCTGGTCAGCCATCCTAATGGCCCATTTCATTGTAGTCTATTAACAGGACAACAAGGAAAATTGCAAGTTTTGTAAAAACACACGTTTTTTCCCAGTCATGAACAGTTTGTATTTTTTCCTGTGAAGTCAGGAAGCTTTTTTGCTTCTTTCTGAAAATTCAGTTTAACTGTTAAATGGCACATGATTTGATCCATATGAATTTTATTTATTTATTTATTCGGGGAAGGGGAAGAGGACCAGTAATGGTAACATGCAACTCTGACTAGTCTTTGGGATAACTATGTTAAACAGGAGTTAGAGAATAAGTCCTGTAATGGTTGAAAAATGAACATTGCTTACATGTTTTTAGAAGTACAGTAGAAAACACAACGTATGTTTTCATGACTTTTTACATGTGGAAGATGGGGAGGAAGAAGATGCTAGGCATTTATTAAATATATTTTGTTTAGCAAAAATCTCCTTAGATGACAGCCCTGCAAATTTGACTTTGATTATGAGACCTTGTCTATGTAAGGTTGGATTAGTTTCACTGAAATAAATTTAAAAAAAAAAAACAAACAAAACAGGTCAGGTCATTTCTTTCCTATCAGAGATACTGTGGACAAAATTATGTCCTACAGTCCCGTTCCTTTCATTGCATTCTATTTAAACTTGATTTTGTAATAAAAACATCTAGGCAAAATTATTAAGAGCCAAATATCTGGGTTAAGACTGTCCACGCTAAGTTTTATACTAATTAACTATACCAATTTAAAAAGCTAAGCAGCATTTAAGCATGTGGTACTTTGAATACAAGACAGTTTTTCATAGTAATATAACACATGATAATTTTAAGGCATAAAATATTCTGTCTTGCACTTTTTTATTACTGCTTGTTTAGGGTCACTGTAGTGAATAATATAATTACTACACAGTTGGGAAAAATGCTGTTCTGTCATCTGCAGTTGTCCTGTGTGCAAACTTTCATCAAGGACAGTTTGCACACAGTCAGTACCATATATGATCAGCATAATATAGGTTGCTACCCTGGTTATTTACCAGCAGATGAATTATCTGCAGAAAGTTTTCAGCAGGCAGAAGTAGTGGTTTTGTAAACAACAGAACAAGCTTATTTTCTTACCCATTTGTCTACATGTTCTTTGAAATCCTCCTTTATCCCATTTCTGTAACTGCCAACATCTTCCCATGACTTGTGTTTCTTGAGCCATTCTTTTGTAGCAAAAAACCAGGAAATACCGTGGCTAGCAACAAATTGGCTTGCCAGTCAGATGCTACCAGAAAATAACATATAATGGGCAAGTTATATCTTCTCCTTCAGCAGAAGCACTAATAGCAGCATTTGATCTGTATGCCACCACTGATTATGGGAAAATTTGAAATTATTATCTTCAAGATCGCTGCTCTTTCAAGTCAAAGCAGTTTATCAACTTGGAGAGAAACGGAAAAAGTTTGATTGCTTAGCCCTATTTTGTTAGGGCCTCAACTAATAAAATCACCTGTGAAAATGCAGTAGACACATGCATACATATAAAAATGTTTGAAAACCCAACTGAACAATATTTATGTAATTATAGAAACAAATCACTGTGATCAGAAGCAGTTATTTGTCTACATTCCTTGCACATTCAAACAGATGAATGTCTTAAATAAAACAAGTTTATTAGCATTTACTTCAAATCCAAGTGTTAACTGCATACAAAATATTATCTTCCCCAAAAAAATAGAGTGGCATGGATTTTAACAGCTTCAAGGTTAACAAAACCAAATACTTCAAATTCCTTACATTTTTCATAAAAGCACAAGAACCTCCTGGGATTTCTTAACAAGAAAATCAACCAAAACCAGAAACTCTTCTTTCCCCTATAGCGTAGCACTTGCCACTCTTGATGAAGGATACATTTTGAGCCTTGCTGACTGTCAAAGTCAAGTTAACTGAGCGTCTGGAAGAATAATTCAGAGCATACTGCCCTACTTCCCCAAACTATGCTCTTTGTCCTCTACGTCTATTTTCCATCTATATGAATGGATGGATATTACTTAGGCTCTCTTCAATATGTCTTATGCGCCTGCCATGCTTCCTTGTGAAACCTCCCACTCAGATGAGGAAAGACTCAGTCTTAAAATAAATTTTAGCTCAGCAGCCTTCCAGTGTTGCCCAACAGAAGAGAAAGATGTGGATTCAAACTTCACTCACACTGACTTGATGCGAAGGAACTGGACAGCAAGTATTGATAGCAGCATCCCTGAGCAAGCAGTTGCTGTATATCTACGACACTGGATGCCACTTAAAACCAATAAGCAGGTTTCTTCCAGTTGGGAACAATATTGAAGCCAGTTGATGTCGTGCCTCAGCTTTCTTTCCACTGTGCTCCCAGGCCAATTAGGCAAGCAGCTGGTAGCCCGAGGCACTGAGCAGCTCTCAAGCTGTTTCCCTGCCCAAAAGCTGCATTAAACACGATTGGCCTAAATACTGAACCAGAGGAGGACCAAAAACCAACTCACTATTGACTCCATTCTCCTCTGATGAAGAATGAAAACTGAAAAGCAGCTTAAAAATGAACCATAATTATGTAGCAAAGTTAATGTCCTGATTCATTTTCAAATTATATACACCCACCATACACACGTAGCGTTCATCCTTCACTGAAACGCAGCCTCCTCTGGGAGCTGTTTAGCAGCATACTACTTATA